ATAGACTTTCTTCTTTTCTTTTGGGTCAGCAATACTGTCTTATGACAAATGTATACTATAAAGATTATTTTTTTCCAGCTATTTTATAAAATTCTCAAAAAGAAGCTATGCTTTTACAAGTATTCAAAGAGGTGAGAAAAGGAAACCAAAGAAAGTCTGAAAATAATTATACATAAATTTATTTGGTCAAAAGTTTTTCAACAAACACAGATATTCATTAATATTTGGGTAGCCAGTCGTCAACTGTAGTCATCAAAATTGGTACAGAATAATTCTGAAACATAGTTGAGAACAAAAATGTATGATGTCTACCGATCGGTCGGACAAATTGGATGCAAAGAAACACCAAACTGTACCTCTGTTTACAGCGCTGTATGTCAAACTAAATTTGTTGCAAATAAAATGCACATTATTACAGAATTACCACAATAAGTAACAACAATTTGTTTAATTCTAATTTTTTACTATATTTTAAAATGCCAAAACCACTAATGACTTCTTTCTTATTTGTAATTCTCATTTTACATAGTTGTTAGTTAACCTTAGAAAAGTAAAAAGTTGAAATTTTGTAAGCAGAGCAGAAGAAAAAAATATGATAAAACCGGTTTGTCTGTTAGCTTCTAAGAGCTTAATCATCGCTTTGACACTCATCACGTCTTTCCCATCTTCAGCTATTCGTAGGTGACTATAGCAGAAGCTTTTATAGCATGCCAATTTGTTGTCGTATGTTCTAGAAAACTACGAAAAATGATGACTAAGAGCTGTCTGAAAATCAACCGCCTAAACTGGCTTCTGAATTGTCGATTTTCTAATAGAGCAATATGATGTCCTACCTGTTAATCGGTTCCGTAAAAATTTTCTTTTATCAGTCATTTGCAACTTATCGTCAACAATAACCAAAGGAAAAAAAGCCGGTAAGCATAAATGACAGCGACACTTTAATTGAAATGATTACGTCAAATAAGAATTGAAATTTCATCTTTGAGCATCAATAAAAGCTTTTCTTCTTCCTCGACTTGCCTTACTTCCTTTAAAAAAAATTAAACATAAATGTTTCTGTATTTCCTTTAATAAAGCGAGAACTAATTAGATTTCTTCAAAGTGCATCAAAATGTTTGCAGTTGTTTAACGATGATAGCATAAATTGTTTGAGACTTTTTTTATAACGGAAGAATACAGAATGCTTTCAGTACTTTTTACAAAATGAGCTGTACATTTCACAAGCAAAAATAAACCTTGTTGACAGATGTTTTAACAACCTTATAATTGCATTAATTTTGTTGTCACTTACGATGTGAAATAATATTATTTCCCAAATATTTCTAAGGTAGGCCATTGTTTGAGACATTCTGTCAACAGTATATAAAATAACATTGAAAGCAATTAGTTTTTTAAATGTGTTCAGTTGGTATTGACAGCGTTCTCACTGTAACCACTTTTAAGTTTAACATGAAATTTCACAGTAAAAAGTAAAAAGAAAATTATGTAATATCAACTCGGTTCTCTATCAACTATCATCTAAAACTGGTAGAAAGCTATTTCGTACGATTGCTTCTGTACTGAATGCTTCTATGCTAATTTTACATAAATCATTAGACTAAAGATACGAAAGTGATACTGTACTCACTATAATTTAAAGCATATTGTTAGCTTTCTGATCGATGTTGTTAAGGGTTCTGTTTTCTTCAAAGATACTATTTTGTTAATCTTTTTTATTGAAGAAGCAAAAAAAGAAAAACGAGGATTTGTAACAGAAGATAAAAGAAAAAAAATTAAGTATACTCAAATTGACAGTTAAAAATGCTTTTTTGTTCTTACAAGGTTTGGTTCAACTGATGAACCCCCTCTTGAAACAACAGTGTCAAAGTAATGTTTTGAAGTGATCAATTTCACGATTTAAGCTAGTTTTTATTGTTCATTTTTAGAACTCTTCTGACTCTTCAGATGCCTGTAGTTTTTTGTTTGGTTTAGCACGAGACAACCAGAAAATGTGTTCTGCTTATCAAGTATCAAAATTAAGTTTCCTGAGCACTTTGTTCAAATAGTTTGTTTACTAGCAAAATAAATTTTAGTAATTCAATAAAACGTCTATAAGAATGTCTTAAAAAGTAAAATTCGAAGATTTATGTATTTTGAAGACAGTTTTTACTCAACAGACCAAATATGTTTTTTACTCTTTGTTTTAAAAGTTATTTAGAGAAAGACAATCAAAACCAAAGTTACTGAAAAATTTGCTCAAAATAAAAAGTGTTCGTTTTTTTTTTT